ACAGATGAATAGAATCGACAACCATTTGACTATTATTATTATGATCTAAAAATTACCAAGTATTCTAAATTAGAATATTAAAGATCGTAGTATCTGCAGAATTCACACTGATGATGGTGTAAGCACGTCGAAATGTCTACAAATAAAGAGATAAAAATTAAGCAGTTTTATACTTTGATCTGGCCATATTATCGATCTGACCCACCGCCATCCTTAATTTTAATATTTTGTACGAAATATGTGGTATAGTTTAAAACACGAGAGAGTGTGTTTTTAACGGCGTCAAAAACACCAACACTAATTAGTCGGACTAGCCGAAGGCAAGGTCGACTTTAGTGTTACCTTTTAGCCTATCAATCTATCTATGTATTATGTCGCGTTTGGACCACCGGAAGTTAAGAATTTAATAATTAACTATTGGGTCGGCTGTGTTATTACATGACCGGAAGCTCAAGCGTATTGATGTACGAATATCGTTAGTAAATGTCATAAGCTACTTGGCTTTTATATGACAAAAAAACTATTCGTTTACAAATGTGGTATCTGTGATCTCATCGGAATGCATCTGTCTAGGCATTAGAAGTACGCGCATGTGCAGATCGCATAGAGTTTCGAGTTGTATGCTTACAAAACTGAATCAATATCCTTTCTAGTGTTAGACAGTCTTGTGGGGGCAAAGATTTCAAATTAGAACAAGAAGAAACTTTGTTTATCAAAAACAGAAAGGCGAATTTGATGATTTTATAGGCATCTTTTTCCTTGTAAAGTTTTTATTTTCTTTGCCTGAGAGGTCATCATGATATCACTTAGCGAGACATTTGTCTGAGCCTAGTTCAATAACAAAAAGGCGAGTTTAATGATTTTATAGTATCATTTACTTTGTAAAGTATTTTCTTGGCCTGAGAGGTCAACGTTATCACTTAGCGTCACTTATCCACAAGTCCACATACCATGTTTGATTTTATCAGTCAAAGCAAGGACTCATTTAAAACGTTCATAGATGTATTAATTACATGACATTTCAGGTCAAGTTTATTTTAGTCTCAAGAGAGTTTGGACATTCTGAACTAGACGCCCTTATTAGACCGTGAGTTCGGCTTTTTTGGAGAAAAATTAAGAAATATATATTTTAATCTAATTTTTATATTTTATGTAATATCCTCCTGTCTTTCTCAAGGTTCATTTACATTCATAATATAATCATATGATTAGACAGAATATAACATCATAATCTTTTCACTCGTGTCTATCAATTTTCAAAAATAGCTAGTCCGACTTCACGCCCCAGGGGCGTCTAGTTTGAAACTCAAATCCGTTAAAATTCTTGGAGAAATTGACATACAAATATGTTCTGAGATAAATGGAGCAAACTGATCATGCGCGAATCACTTTACAAAGCACTTTTGTTGGCCCACATTGAATACGCATAAAATAAAATAGACCCGCTCTTGGCTGTTTACTGTATTCGGTTGACATCCTGCATTCGTCAATGATCAGGTCTCAAACCTTAGACCTTTGCTAGAGTCATGAACCTTTATAGAGTCGTTCTCATTAACCCGTGGAACAAAGTGTAATAGGAAAGGAGAGACAAAGTGTATGAGGGTGTAATAGTGCTATTGGTTAAATACTCTGCCCACCACATAAAATTTCAATCATATTTATTAAGGACACAACTGCAAAATTACAATTTCCGCACATTAAAAAAAGGCATTTTTGATCGTTCGCACGAAGCGGTGGTACCTGCCAGAGTGTGTGGTACCACATGCAAAGCGAAGAAATCGTCTTCGGGGTCGTGTCTTTTTTGGCGCCTGCATTCAGTGATATTCCAAACTAAACACACAAATGAGAGTCGTTGTCACGTGACCGGCCGATGCCAGGGCTATCTTTGTCCGCCATTTTTTTTAAAAAACAACAACAACAACAGCAAGAACAACAGAGAAGCCCTGGAAACAAGGTTCACTTACATGCAAAACATGTGCAGACAAAGGAATATCAGCTAACAGTTATCTTGTTTATATCAGTTATCAGCTAAATAAAGCCGAAATTCTCAGTTAACAGTTATTATTTTAGCCGTTTCTCAGTTAACAGTTAACCCCATTCAGACCCTGTTTAGTTAATTTTAAGTTAATAGAAGACTTCAATTTTTTCAATTTTAAGTGATTCGTCATGTACCTGTAGTTTTAAATTACCAGGAGAAATAGTTTTGAATTACAAGTTACCAGTATAGTGTTAATGTCCAGCAATTTTTATGTTGTAGGGTTAAGATCAGTATTGAACACTATCAGTGTAAGGCTTCTGATCTTCCTGGCAGCACACAAACAACGGCGAAACTTCTAGTGAACTTCCGTCCTCGATCAGTGAACTGGAAAAAATGACCAATCTACATCCGAAAGACTGGTGATGACATTAACATACCTACTAGTAGATTAGAATTGATTGTAGATCAACATCGGAAAGATTGCATAGCGCTTTACCAAGGCGGTGAAAGACGTAAAGGTGTGTACACATTTCAACCCGACAAGCAGCCTGCATTTCAAGTCTACTGTGACATGTCAATTGACGGTGGGGGCTGGACTGTGTTCCAACGAAGACAAGATGGATCAGTTTATTTCTTTCGGAATTGGAAGCAGTACAAAACAGGTTTTGGAAACCTGAATGGTTAGTTTTGGTTGGGTAACGATTACATCCATCGACTGACAGCAACATCAACGTCGAGTTTGCGTGTTGAGGTAGAGGACTGGTACGGAACTAGGAAGTATGCCAAATATGATAGTTTTAGTGTTGGTGATGAATCAGACAAGTATAAAGCTGAGGGTTGGCTTGTATTCAGGTACCGCTGTGGGGACTCGTTGATATATACGCTTAACAACATGGCGTTTAGTACAAAAGATAGCGATAACAACAAACATAGCAATGCTAACTGCGCTATAGATCGCATCGGTGCCTGGTTGTATGATAGTTGTCAGGATTCTGATCTAAATGGAAAGTACCTTGGAAACAGGATGTCGTGGAAAGGAATTAATTGGTACTATTTTCATCGCAATAAACAAAGTTTTAAGAAATCTGAAATGAAAATGCGTACCTGTGGATTTCAATGAATCGAATGTATAGCACAGTAAGATAACGCTGAAGTTATTGCTCATTGTTATTTGTACAGACATGATTTGTCAAACACGTGTGTACACATCGTATCAACCATTAATTTAAGAGAATTCGAGAGTATTGTCTAAAGTTATAATTATATAGAGTTAAATATGGCAAGACAACAAAGCAACTCACGTTTGATAACAGAAACTTGAATATGGTATACGGCAAAATATGACCCAGGCCTTACAAGCATAATTTTTGCAAATTATTTGTCTTCCCATACTGCCACTCGACGATGTGGTCTTTTTGACTGACAACGTTTTTCTAGTAGGTGCATATCACATTTCCATGCATATATGACGTCATATGAGTCACTGTTTTCATGATGATCATATACACCTGCTTTCAGAGATGTTCTCCATTTCAAGTCGTAGCCAAAATTATAGGACAATTTGTCTTAAATACAAACTTAGAGCAATTTGAGAGATTTGAAGCTGTATGTCCTCTTATTGAAACACTCTATGACGTAAAAACTCAAAAATGAAGTGGACGCACGAGCGCAGCGATGGGTTTTCTGCAAAGTGTTTATCATTTTACGTAGTTTAGATGTGGTTTACCACATTTAAGTGTAAAAATAAGAGAAAATCATTTTTTTCAACTGAGTACGCGCGTGAGACGTGATAGTTCCAGCATAGTGTGCCCTCTTATTGACACATTCTTATCAGCCAATCAGCGAGCGAGAATTTACACGTGTGTGGTAAAAGAGGAAATTGATATGAATAAATATTGACGCATTTTGTTCATATTTATCAGCTCACTAATTGATTAGATTCGTATATTTTACTGATTACAGAGGAAGAACCAAGTTAATGAAATGTGAAAATAAATTAAAGGAAGTAAAGAAACGCGTGATTTTACATTTATAAACCTTATTGCATTGTTTTCTTTTGTGTCTATTTGACTATCACACTTTAATTTAATGACTTCCTCTGCTACCAAATACTGCTAGGTTATGCTACTAATAATGTTTTTATTGCTGTTTTCGTCATAACTTTTTAGTAATAAAAAGTGCAAAGTGTTGCACACTTTTAGTGTTTGTGCTCTAATCTGATTTTCGATTAGGACATAGTTTTGATATCATCGGCATTATGATAGCAATTTCACTACGTTCCAGTGTACTGATAAATACCTACTACAATAACATAACAAAAACATATTCCATGTAACCCTTATCTCTTTTTTCTAACCTAAAGAAAAACAATTTGAAAGAAARAATTAAAGCCATTTCATAGATAATTAGTATATACAAAATAAAACTAAGTACAACTAAAATTAATCAGAGTTGGCATGATAGGAGTCAACAGCTAACTCAATTTACGCACTGTCATATTTGTCGACAAATTGGTCTTTTGACTTCGATTCAAATAATTGTTACTTATTGAAAAACAATACCTCGCTGAAACCATTTCTTTCGAAGAAGAAGAAGAAAAAAATAATTGACGGTATCATCTGGTAACAGAAAGTACGAGTCACAACAGACCTGTTAAAAGAAAGATGGAGTATATCTATCGTCCAATTTTCGATTGATCAACGCAGGTACACCATCTGTTTTACCGTCATAAACCTGTTTAGCAAACCAACCATGCAAGATGTATAGATCTGACGTTTATTAGACATCAAACAAAATTGCCCGCATAATTTCTAGTTTTCATTTCATATCAAATCCAGCAGATGGGATCATAGCTAGCTGGCATTTCAGTCTTTTCGCCTTCAAAATGGAAGGCAAAGTCGGTCGCATTTGCTCACCRACGAAGTCTACCATCTTGATTTCAACAGTGACACTTTTATTATGTTTGTGCCAGTTTTTCCGCACTGAATTGATCCTAAACGAGCAAATGGCACGAGTCGATAAGTTGGAAATGATRAAAACACAACGCGACAAGAATACTGCAGTTATTGAGAACATCAAGTCGATGTTAAACGCTCAAGTCACAAGAATGAAGGATTTTGAAGACCATATCAACAAGTATCCTTGTTCTCATCTGAAAAGAAAGAAAAGGGCTACCATACCAGATGAACAACAAATGGCGGTTGAATTGGCTGAGCTCAAACGGTACCTTCCAAAGATCATACAAGCCTTGGGGGCGTTGCAGTTAGAAAAGAAAATACCAGGACCGAGAGGACCACCAGGTCAGTCCGTAGTACCACCACGATCAGTAATTATTTCACCTCCACGTTTGGTTATCAGTGAAAGTCAGTCGGCCATCTTGGAGTGTTCTGCCAGTGGATATCCACAACCTGTTGTTGCGTGGAGTAAAGTCAACGGTTCATTACCSAAASAGAGATTTTTYGTCGACAGTAGCGGGAAACTGGAATTGAAGAATGTCACTATTCATGATTCAGGGACCTATCAGTGTAAAGCTTCCAATATTCTTGGCAGTGCAGAAGACAAATCAGAAATCGAAGTGAACTTTAGTCCTCGAGTGTCCTTAAYCAAAGGACCAATCTACAAAATGGYTGGTGATGACATTCGTATACCTACCTGTCACGTGACTGGTATCCCTGAACCAAAAGTCACGTGGTCTATGTCTATCGGTTCTTTGCCAGATAATCGTTCTGTTGTCAGAGATGGACAGCTTACTGTACTAAAAGCGGAAAAAGWTGATTCTGGGATATACGTTTGCAAAGCTGAAAATMGTCTTGGATCAGCCGTAGGATCTATTATGGTAAATGTTATCGATCTGCCTGTGTTTGTTGTCAAGCCACCATCCTCCAAAACAACACATAATGGAGCAACCATAGTGTTGAATTGTASSGCTAAAGGTGACCCCCAGCCTGTTRTCAGTTGGARAAAAGACAACGGCGTCCTTCCTGTTGGTAGATATGAAGTAAAAAATGCCTCTTTGATTATAAGGAACGTCAAGAAGACTGATTCAGGTGTGTTTTCGTGCACTGCTACGAGTGCTGGTGTTTCTCATTCACATGTTAGTACGACATTAACTATATTACATTTCAAAGATTGCGCTGAGATTTACAAATCAGGAGAGAGACGTAACGGTGTGTACACAGTTCAACCCGACAAGCAGCCTGCATTTCAAGTCTACTGTGACATGATAACTGACGGTGGGGGTTGGTCTGTGTTCCAGCGAAGACAAGATGGATCGGTTGATTTCTTTCGCAATTGGACGCAATACAAAACAGGTTTTGGAAACCTGTATGGCGAGTTTTGGTTGGGCAACGATTACATCCATCGACTGACATCAAGAACACCGACGAGAGTGCGAGTTGAGGTTGAGGACTGGTACGGAACTAGGAAGTATGCCAAATATGGTAGTTTTAGTGTTGGTGATGAATCAGACAAGTACAGGCTGACGGTTGGCTCGTAYTCAGGTTCTGCTGGGGACTCGTTAGCATGGCAYAACAACATGGCGTTTACTACAAAAGATAAAGATAACGACAAAAACGGTAGAGTTAACTGTGCTTCACTGTATATTGGTGCCTGGTGGTATAATGATTGTTATTATTCTAATCTAAATGGAAAGTACCTTGGAAACAAGGTGTCAAACAAAGGAATGATTTGGTTCCATTTTCATGACAATTATCCAAGTTTAAAGAAATCTGAAATGAAAATGCGTACTAGTGGATTCTAGCACAGTAAGAAAAAGCTAAAGTTATTGGTCTCTCTTATTTGTGCAGATCATTTATCAACGATATGTCAAACTCGTCTGTGCTACATGTAGTGTTTATAACGATGAGATTAGAGGCAAATAGTCAATGAYAAAATAATGATTTATTACAAAATACAGAACAAATATTGTACGCTGGGAAAATATTGATATCTATATGCGTGTTCTGGTAATGATAAWAACAACTTTATTAGTCAGGGTAAACAYCATTACCGTAAAACGATAATTTTCAGGTGGCCCTMATAGAAAATAAATAATATATCTAAAATTATGTTTAAAAGACATTAAGTTAAAAAGGCTATGTATATTATCACTATTTACAGAGGATAAAGTAGAGAGAGTATAATGTTTTAAGTATCTAGGTAAAAATCTTGATCATATCTCAATGTCTCCATAGTGAGACATGATATAATTAGTTAATAAAATGCTTTTTAAATTGTTCAATTGTTTTACTATCTTTAATTTCAATGGGGAGATCGTTCCATATTTTGGTGGCTCTATATCTGTTAGTTAATGTTCTTTGGCCACTWTTGGCTTTATAGAGGGGAATGGTCAGGCGCGTAGCGTGGACGTTTTGGTTAGGACGCACATCTCAGGGACCGCGACACATATTTTGGATCTTGGGGTCTAACGACCTCCAAAGGCCGGAAATTTTGAAGTAATAACTCTTGGAAATTCGATTTCCAGCGTTTTGAGGCAGCGAGGGCATATAAAAGGGATCCTTTTTACTTGAATTTTTCAGTAATTTTTGTGAAAATTTTAATTTAATGTTTCCTTGCCAGTAGTACGCGCGTGCGTATATGCGTAAAAGGATGCTACGCACCCGATGGCTATTTGTCCTTTTTTTGTAGAGAGTCTAGTGGATCTGGAGCTGTGTTTCGTAAATTTAGAACTGAGATACTTTGGGGCCATATTGCGTTGACATTTGAACATCATGGTTGCAGTTAGTAGTTTTTCTCGCTGGAACTGGAACTTGAATCAAACGCAGGTTACGTCATTGAAGATAAGACCGTAGAGGATCATGGGAAGACAATTTGTGCAGACAGCGCGCGAGAACTGGAACCTAACGAGAACTGGAACCGAACAATTCTGTTAACAAAAAATTCTTTTTACAATGAAGCTTTTAGAATCTTTTAAAGAAAACTTAATGCCAGGTTCTACTTTTAAATAAAAAACTATTTTGCTTGTAATATTCAGAATTCAGATAATATACTTGAGAAAGATTAAATACTCGAGTGCGATTGGCTGATGAGGAACGGCGCGGCTGAAGAAGGCCGAAGTGCCGAAACGTCCAATAAAACAGAATTATTATAGCTTCAAGTTGGTGTCCCAGAACTAAACGTCAGGCAGGCGATATTTTTTTTTTGAAAAATCGTCAGAACAACACTAATTTCAATTAATACAACAAGGGAAATGCAATAAAGGACGAAATAATACTGTTCGACAAGTTTGTATACTGTCACAAGCACGGCACTGTGAGATTTTTCGACTGCCTGACGTTTAATCCCATAATCTAAACGTCAGGCAGTTTTTGTGAAAAATCGTTGGAACAACTGTAATTTCAATTAATTAATAAAATATAAAATGAATAAAAATCTCAAAGTGCCGGGCTTGTGACTATACAAACTTGTCGAACAGTATCATTTCGTCCTTTACTGCATTTCCCTTGTTGTATTAATTGAAATTATAGTTATTCCAACGATTTTTCAAAAAAAAAAATATTTCTGCCTGACGTTTAGTCCCAGAACTAAACGTCAGGCAGAAATATTTTTTTTTACCTGGACGGTAAAATATATATAATATATTCATTAAATGTTTCTAAGGATCAACATGTGCTCCTCCACGGGCTCCTCCACGGGCTCTTCCACGGGCTTTCCGTGCTTTTCTAGGAGCCGTAAGAGGGAGAATGGGAGCGAATGAAGTAGAAATAGTTGACTGGGGAGGAGGATAGAATCAACAGAAGATATATATATGTGTTCATCAGAAGTACATAACCATGGCCAGAAATTCCGGACATTTGAGCCCGTGACGAGTCAGCGGGTTTTCCATATGAAACTTATTGCCATACATCGGGTGACATTTGCTTGGATTATTGTCCAGGCTCACTCATGCATCCATGCATGCATGTATATATGCATATAATTTATTTATTTACTTCATGAAATATAATACAATGGAGTTAATTAATATTTTGTCGTCAATCAATGTCATAGATAACATCCAATCATATCATCGTTCCATGCGCATGCTCAACAGGAAATTAACCGTCCCGTGGCAGAGGTATTTTTCCTTTCTTCGTAGAAGGAGGTGGAACAATCCTCTGTTCGCAGGGTAAAGGCCGGAAGTTTTGAAGTAATAACTCTTGGAAATTCGATTTCCAGCGTTTTGAGGCAGCGAGGGCATATAAAAAGGATCCTTTTTACTTTTTCAGTAATTTTTGTGAAAATTTTAATTTAATGTTTCCTTGCCAGTAGTACGCACGTACGTATGTAACAAATCGCAGTATATGTCCTTTATTCTTCTATGTAACAGACTACAGATATGTCCTTTATACTTCTAAGTTCGGGAGGTTATCTAACGTCTTTAGGCACACTTCTCAGAGACCGAATCTCGACGACTCCCTGATAGTACAAACCAGCCCCAAAATCACACTCTCTCAAGCACCACCATGCTTTTTATCCAAAACTTGCCTTTCCCACGGGACAATCACACACAAAAACATTCACGAGAACACAACACAAACACATATCACATATCAGTCTACACGTATATGCGTAAAGGACGCTACGCACCCGATGGCTATTTGTCCTTTTTTTGTAGAGAGTCTCGTCGATCTGGAGCTGTGTTTCGTAAATTTCGAACTGAGGTACTTTGGGGCCATATTGCTTTGACATTTGAACATCATGGTTGCAGTTAGTAGTCTGTCTCGCTGGAACTGGAACTTGAATGAAACACAGGTTACGTCATTGAAGATAAGACCGTAGAGGATCATGGGAAGACAATTTGTGCAGACAGCGCGCGAGAACTGGAACCTAACGAGAACTGGAACCGAACTTAATTCTGTTAACAAAAAATCTTTTTACAATAAAGCTTTTAGAATCTTTTAAAGAAAATTTAATGCCAGGTTCTACTTTTAAATAAAAAAACTATTTTGCTTGTAATATTCAGAATTCAGATAATATACTTGAGAAAGATTAAATACTCGAGTGCGATTGGCTGATGAGGAACGGCGCGGCTGAAGAAGGACGGAGTGAGGAAACGTCCAATAAAACAGAATTATTATAGCTTTAAGTTGGTGTCCCAGAACTAAACGTCAGGCAGTCGATGTTTTTTTGAAAAATCGTCGGAACAACCCTAATTTCAATTAATACAACAAGGGAAATGCAATAAAGGACGAAATAATACTGTTCGTCACAAGCACGGCACTTTGAGATTTTTCGACTGCCTGACGTTTAATCCCATAATCTAAACGTCAGGCAGTTTTTTGTGAAAAATCGTTGGAACAACTGTAATTTCAATTAATTAATAAAATATAGAATAAATAAAAATCTCAAAGTGCCGTGCTTGTGACTATACAAACTTGTCGAACAGTATTATTTCGGTCTTTATTGTATTTCCTTTGTTGTATTAATTGAAATTACAGTTATTCCAACGATTTTTTAAGAAAAAAAACGACTGCCTGACGTTCAGACACTCCCATTGATATACGTAAAGCAAGTGAACACAAATCATGTATAGTTAAGAATGAGAAAAATGAAGGATGCAGGGAAGAACGAGGACAAAGCTAAGGCATGTTAGGTCCCCTACAAACCATAGCAACAGAGACCTTCAATTTTAGAGACCAAAAAACGGTCCATCAAATCATGAAAGCATGGACGGTAAAATAAATCTGATATATTCATTAAATGTTTCTAAGGATCAACATATGCTCCTCCGCAGCTCCTCCACGGGCTCCTCCACGGGCTTTCCGTGCTTTTCTAGGAGCCGTAAGAGGGAGAATGGGAGCGAATGAAGTAGAAATAGTTGACTGGGGAGGAGGCTAGATCAACAGAAGATAATCTGACGAATCACTTAAAATTGAAGTCTTCTTTTAACTTATCAACTAAATGTCGGGGAGACGTAGTCTAACATTGAACGTTGTAACATCTCTTGCTGTTCTTGTGAAAACGTCTTTCGTTTGCTTAGCTTCTTGTTTGTCAAATAAGCGCTCTTTCGTTCGCTCTTCGTGTTTTGAAGTTGTTTTGTCTGGCAGCTTGATGTCTCTTGAATACAGCTCGTTCAGCATCAATTCTGTTCTTATTAACACACCAAAGCACAACAACAAACTGACGACCGATATCGTGATGGCAAGAGTCATAGACCTTTATATCTGATAAAACACTCCTTATTAGTAAACTATTCTTTATATAAAAAATGCTAATAAGGGTGACCTTTATCAGATATAAAGGTCCATGACTGTTTGAAACCTGATCATTGACCAATGCACGATGTCAACCGAATACAGTAAACAGCCAATAGCGGCTCTATTTCATTTTATGCTTATTCAATGTGGGATAACAAAAGTGCTTTGTAAAGTGATTCGCGCATGATCAGTTTATCTCAGAACATATTTGTATGTCAATTTCTCCAAGAATTTTAACGGATTTGAGTTTCAAATTAGTGTTGGGGTTTTTGAAGCCGTTTAAAACACGAGAGAGTTCGGCTCGAATCTTTATACCTGATAAAACACTCTCTCTCGTGTTTTAACTATACCACATATTTCGTACAAAATATTAAAATTAAAGATGGCGGCGGGACAGATCGATAATATGGCCAGATCAAAGTATAAAACTGCTTAAATTTTTATCTCTTTATTTGTAGACATTTCGACTTGCTTACACCACCATCAGTGTGAATTTTGCAGATAGTACGATCTTTGATATTCTAATTTAGAATACTTGGTAATTTTGCAATCAAATCATTATTATTAAGCATTGATTATCGACCCTAATCTCATCAATCACTAGATACATAACACTCACGTTTAATCAAAAATAATTAATTAATAATTAAATTAGGATTATTCTCCTCGATGTAAGGTCTTGTTATCTATGCATTAAAGATTGTCGAACTGCCCCTTCTTCTTAAAATGCGACTTTTTACCATTCATGTCTTCCAAATTCAACGTGTCCCTCTTTGGACGCGTAACCATGCGTTTTAGCTTTGGTAGCGGCAGTCCAGGTTCAGTTTTAACTGTAATAAAATATAAATCAAATATCTTAAAATATTTCAAAAATCATATATTTTAAAAATCGTTCATGCGGAATCTGGGTGATTGATTTGCGACCAGGCCTGCATATGAATTCGCCAAGGTTGTAAGCCAGTGAGCCCGTGCATTTTTGTTAAGCGGTCATATTTGAAAATGTAAATAAAGGAAAGGGAAAACCCGCAGCTCTCCTTTCACTCAGATAAACAGTACAAGTCGTATTAAATTTATTTACATAACTAAACAAAATGATTATAGAATTAAACCTTTAAGAATTGAATGCTCATTTGAAACATTTTCCACCTTAAATACACACGTGTTTTTCAAATGGGAATTTAGTCGAACTTTTTTCACGATGGAATTTTGTTTTGAGTCGTTTCGACATAAACAGTCGCTATCAAGACATTACACGAAAAATCCCAGTCACCTTCTAGCTCTCATTGTAAGGTCAAAGCTAGTAAATGTGTAACCGACCTGTTACATAACGTCTCAACCCGTTGTATCGTCGAGCATGCTTCAGGTGGCTTATTTCCGAAAATGCGACAAAGGATGAACTACGAGAGTTGTTTGTACCAAAAATAACAACGCTTTAACTTTATTGGAATACGTGGAGCTAAGCTGCTCTAGCTCTTCCAGTGATGTTGTATATACCTCAAAGCTTAGAGGAAACAAGAGCTAAGAAAAAGGATTTGCAATGGCTCCTCTTAAGATACTTTGGACTTGAACGTCGCTTCAACGACCTTCTGA